CCCCCCTTTCTACACTCCTGATGCTTTTATGTTTGTTGCGTCTGTTGTATTTTCTTGAGATATTGTTTATTTATGAGTCTAATGGATTTCTGTAATTAAACTATATAGATTCTAAGAATCCCCCCCCCCTGAGTTCGACTCCCCCCAGTATAAATCTATATATTAATATTTGACCTAACTTGACCCCATGAAAGGTTTCTGGTAAGTTCAAATACAAGATTTTGTCTACAAAATATGATTTTTATATTTTTTAAAGTTATATTTATGCTAGAAAGAGGAACGCGAATAATTTATTATAATATTATAGATAATAATATTGATAATGATGATGATGATGATAATAATGATAATGAAAATAATAATTACAAAAATAATAGTAAAATTAAAAATAATAATGATTATAGTAATAATCCTAATAATAATCGATTTATGATTTTGTTTTTAACCTTTGTGACAGAAACAATCTCAAGAACTGACAAGGGTCAACCCAGATCGAAATATATTTTCAAAAAATGTAGAACTAACATCTACTTTTTTACTCTACAGAGTTTTGGTCCATCACCATCACCGAATTTTAAATCGATTTATAGTTTATAGATATGTTAGATTTGGTATGAACATATGATGTACTTATAATAAAAACATTAAAAATAAAAATGATGATGATGATAGCAATAGTAATCAAAATAAAAATAAAAATAATAATAATAATAATCTTTTATTTCAATTGGGAACATGTTTTCTTTGGAAACATTGAATAACAAAAACTAAAAAAAATTCGGGGATTTTACAAAACGAATTTTGTGGTAATCCAAAATTTTTGAAAATTCGATCATCCATAAACATTCCCTGTGGTCACGCGAGGTCCCGAAAAAATTTTGGCCCAATTTGTTCAGCCGTTTTGACGTTTATTTGGTACAAACAAACACTATTACAAAAAAGCAAAGTATCTATATAGATAGTAGGCTTTTAGGGCGCATCGCGCCCATCTTCTATTTCTATTGTAAAAATTTTCTTTTTGTATTCGTTGTAAAAAAAACAAAAATTTTGCGGATTTATATATATAATTTAAACAAAAATGTGTTATTTTACTCTGAAACTTTTAACCTGTTACTAAATTTCCATACATTAAAGTTTTAGATTTTTTGGACTAAGTATTTCGAACAATATTATGACGAAATTAAAAGAATAATATTTTATCTTCAAATTTACTATTTACAATTTACTATATGTTTTCTGTACAAAGTTTGAAAAAGTACAAAAGTTTAAAATTTAGTATTTATGTTTCTCGGAAACAGATAAGAATATTATACTCAAATATATATACTTATATACTATACATCAAATTAAAAAATTTTTATATTAAATTATAACAAATGTCGGAGACATTCCGGGTTTGTGTAAAAAAAAATATTTTTTGTTGTTTTTCTTTATTTTATTATTTTTCTTAAAGCTTTCAGTTAGCTAACATTACGACCCCAATATGTGGGTTCCGTTTGCACAGCTGACTCATAATAGTTGTATGATCCGAGCCGGTACAACATGTACATTGTACAGTACTGCATATGAAAGGTAAAACATTATTTAATGTATTACAAGACTTAATGGGGGGGGGTGTCATTGAATCGTATTCTTTAGGAAATACCAGAACTAAAGGTTGAGAATTGAGAAAATTCTAAACATAGGTCAAATGAGTATATAATGACCCCTATCTCCGCGAATAAATCCTAGAATTATGAAAATGTTAGTTTTATTTCTTTATATATTTTAGCTTCTCAATGACAATAGCACGATACATTATATGCAATATACATTAAACAACTCATACATTACAAAACAAACTTGAAAAGTTAATTTGTGTATATATATTTACGTAATAATTATGTACACTACAGTTTCTGCAAATGTTCAAGGGTGCAAGCGGAACTGAATAACACCAATAAAATTGTATTTCCTTGAAGTCAGCATTTTTAACAAAAAGCCAATTCTCGCATGATTTTAAAAATCCTACGCTGAGAAATCCAGACAAAAAATAACGGGAAAGGAAGAGGATATTATAGAAATTATATATTTACGTTGCTGAACTATAAAATCCGGGGGGGGGGGACCGTGTTGGGGCATCAACCAGTGCCCCCCCCCCCTCCACTCGTGCACCCCTGCAGGATAACTTATTTCCCGGGAATTTATGAAGAAATCCTTCAAATCCAAACAAAGCTTCTATTTGGATGGTTTCTTCATAATTTCCCTATTCAAAGAAAAAGTGGGTGACCCAACCCGCCCCAAATCAGATGGGTTTGCCCAGACAAGGAGACCCGGCCCGGTCTGGTTGTGTGTGTGTACGTGTGTGATGGTTAGTGGGAATGGGATTTATCCAGTTTCGAGGATTTTTTAGATTATATATAAATATATATACTATGCTATTCTGGCGGGAACACAGTTCAAGAAGACGTCTGAAGATAAGAAATACACTTTGATGGATTTCCAGTTCCTTGAAAAAACAAAAGCAAAAAACATGGTTAATAGGATTTTATCCAAACAAGTATCAAATCCGAGAAGGTAGATTCTTGTACCGGACCGACTGAACAAAGTTCTCTCTAGTCTCTAGAGAAAGGTTGGCCCGGCACGGATATTTAAGGAGTTCACGGAATATCAGTAATGTACTGACACGTCGATTCCGACCACCTGGCACCAAAGTTTGAGTGAGGGAATCACGACACAGCGCGATATTCCTATATAATAGACAGAGAATGGAAAACCCAGCACGCCAAACTTGATGCAGCCCGAAATACAGAACGAGTTGGCCCGGCACGCTGATCTGTATGTACCGGCACGGTAGATTTCCAAGGAATTTGCGGAGCCGAGTTCCTAGTAAACCTTATTGAGTCCAGTTCTGAGAAATTATGTAGGAGGGAGAAACAAAAATAAGAGAGAGAGAGATAGAGTGAGAGAGAGAGAACGGGGAGTGAGCGTGACCGTTTCAAGCGCTCCATAGACGTGTATACACACAACAGAAAATCAAGTTCAGATCAGACTCAGTTTGAACCCAACATTTATCAATCAAACATCTAAAGATTAGTGTAACAAATTAATAATTGGAACTGAAAGTTAATCTGAAGATATAGAAGTTTATACTATCTACAGTTTTGGACAGGATTTGAAGTACCAACATCCCCCCACACATAATTCAGGTTTAGTTTAAAAATAATTACTTTTCATCGTAGCTACAGATTGGGGTCAGCGCTCTTTAAAGAAACAGCTGATTTTTCAAAACAAAACATTTTGAACATTTTCGTTAATATCTTATAAAAAATATATATATATTTATATTTATTTATATGAAGTAAACTTAGTTTTATTCGTATTTGTATTTTAAATATTACATAACGTAACAAATATTTTTTTAAAAATAATTTACTCGTATGTAAACAAATAACAATAGTTTTCTCATATATGTAAACAAATAACAATAATTTTCTCATATATGTAAACAAATAACAATAGTTTTCTCATATATGTAAACAAATAACAATAATTTTCTCATATATGTAAACAAATAACAATAATTTTCTCATATATGTAAACAAATAACAATAGTTTTCTCATATATGTAAACACATAACAAAACTTTCTCAATTTCTTATTGTATTGTACAACTTCTAATTGTACTGTTCTGTTTTTTTGTACTCAATTTCTGACTGTATTGTTCTGTTTTATTTAGTCAATTTCTCTCTGTATTGTACTGTGTTTTGTACTTAATTTCTCTCTGTATTGTACTGTGTTTTGTACTTAATTTCTCTCTGTATTGTACTGTGTTTTTACTTAATTTCTCAATGTATTGTACTGTAAATTCTGCACTCAATTTCTTACTGTACTAAATTTCTCATTGTATTGTTCTGTTTTCTATACTACACTTCTCATTGTATTATACTACGTTCTGTACTCTAATCCTTAAGCGTACAATTTTCTCTTACTCTTCATTGTACTGTCTCTTCATTGTACTTTTCTCTACTGTATATTGTTGTATCTCTATTTTGGACCATTTTTTGGTCACTTTTCCTCACTTTTTGGTCACTTTGCCTCACTTTTTGGGCACTTCTTTAATAATTACAAATTATAATAATCATTTATTGAACTGCCTCAATTTTGTCCTTTGTCCCAATGGTTAAAAGAAAAAATTACAAAAAAAAATTGTTATCCATAGTTGTAGATATTGTTTTATTGATTAAAATAATTTCTAATTAGTACTGTATACTGGACTGTTTTTATCATGATTATTACTGAAAAAAATAGACACTTAAAAATAAGGAATATGCATTTTTACTCGATGCAATTAAAATGATGACCTAAGCTGAAAACTTTAGAATGGGATACCCGACTGCTTAATTCGAATTTCAATGTAGGCACTTTTAATTTCTTGCTTAATCCACCCTTTTTTTGATATAGTACGGAAAAATCAAAAACCGATTTTTTTAAATTAGAGAGTTCCTCCCGTCTCTGTATATTCATCATAATTAAATAAAAGAACTGTCATTAAATGGCGCGTAAAATTTCATATTTCCCGGCTTGTGATACTTCACTCTGATTGGTTGAATTTTGTACACTTTTCAGGATACAAACACAAGATTAGGTTAGTCTCGAGATTAAGGAAAAGAGAGGATTAAGAATTGATCTCGATATCCATCATTATAAAGTTCTCAGCACAGATTTCATTTTTGGAAAGTCCATCCAGTCTTTATTTGCTTATTCGTAACATGGTTTTAATCTATATAATAAAAATAAGACATGTTGCGTAAAGCCGGCCAAACGGCTGGACCGATTGGGCTGAACTTTTTTTTTGTGGACACTCGTGGGTGGCCGGGGGGTGTTCAAGGCTAAAAAAATAAAAAAAAACAATTTCAAAATTTTTTCATTTTTATCTTCTCAATTTTTCTTTCTACGGGCTACGCCGGGCACTTGAGCTAGTTTTCTATATTTTCCACTATCAGCCTTTATATATTAAATATTATGTATATAATACTTTCTCTTTCACCTTCAAAGGTTATATTCATCATTCTATCAGAAATTATTATTCAGGGAATGGGGCGTGAAGAGGGGGGGGGAGGTAATAGAATTACACAACATAGTCTGTTATTTTTTTTATACGACCCTGAATTATTTAATCTTGAGTTTCATCTTTAATATAAACAGTGAAGTATGTTTATTATGCAACATAACTTTAAATAACATATTTATCATTTCGTTTTAAAATCTTATGATTTGTCATGTTCTGCGTAGATAACATTGTCTGTACTATGTAATCTCAGTTTTTTTCAACGCTAAAATTTTTTTTTTGCCAATACTTTTCCGCTGTTTTTTGTTGGGCAGCGTTTTCCTCTTTTTCTTGTCATCAAATGTCATGTTTTATTTTTGTTTTATCGAACTTTTCCTTATTTTGTTCAGTCTCATAACATTCATATTTTTTTTAATCTTATTTTTTGGAATTTACTTGTTTGTTCTTTCAAAAACTTAATTCGGATCCGACCGGATCCGGATCCGAAACACTGTTTTTTCCCCTAATTTTTATAGATTTATTGATTTAGTTAGTTAGGATTTACTTAGCTGTACCACCCTGTATTTTTATATATTAATAATAATGAACTATGTATTCTAGAAACACCCTGTATTTCTAGATAATGCTAATGAGCTATGTATTCTAGAAACACCCTGTATTTCTATATACTAATACTAATGAACTATTTTTTCTAGAAAAACCCTGTATTCCTATATAATACTAATGAACTATGTATTCTAGAAACACCCTGTATTTCTATATACTAATACTAATGAACCTATAAATTCTAGAAACACCCTGTATTTCTTTATAATACTAATAAACTATGTATTCTAGAAACACCCTGTATGTAGTAGTAGTACTAGTAGTAGTACTAGTACTAGTATTCTATATACTAATACTAATGAACTATGTATTCCAGAAACACCCTGTATTTCTATATACTAATACTAATGAACTATGTATTCTAGAAACTCTCTGTATTTCTATATACTAATATTAATGAAATATGTATTCCAGAAACCCCCTGTATTTCTATATATAATACTAATGTACTACTATATTCTTGAAACACCCTGTACTTCTATATACTAATACTAATGAACTATGTATTCTAGAAACACCCTGTATTTCCATATACTAATACTAATGCACTCCTGTATTCTGAATACTAAACTTCTAAAGCAAATACACTTCTGAGAATCGAGGGCATGTAATCAAGGACAATTGAAGGGGGGGGGGGGTTCAGGAGGGAGGGGAAATCAGGTTGGGGGGGGGGAATCGTTTCTAGGAATTAAGTTCATTTTCCCGAACTTATTTGCACTTAAAAACCAGGCTTATTTAGGATTACAAAGATTTTGTTACAGGGTGTTTCTTTTTATGTGAAATTATAAATGAAAAAGTTCAGTATTTGCTAGCCTGCATTTGGGTGACTAAATTGTTAACAAATCTTTGAATTTAACTTTTTAAATTGAGTTTTTTTTTTGCCTAAATGTTTTCGGATACTTACATCCTTTTCTTGTACAAATTTAAAACATTTAAAAAAGTTCACATGTAATTTCTCAGTAGGGTTAAGTTTAGAATTATTAGTTTTAACATGTATAAAAATTGATAAACTTTAAAGATATTTCTTGGAATTTAACTCTGACACACTTATATTCTTGACGATATTTAAACGTCAGTTATCTAGCATAAATTTATTTAAAATATTTGTACAGTATTCAGCGGATTTTTAAGTTCTTTATCATTTTTAGTTTGTACAGTCTCGGCTTTATACAGTCGATTGATTAGTTATACTCATCATTTTCATATCAGAAATTTAAATAATTTGTCTTGAAAGAAAATTTCAAGAAACGTTGATATCATTTATTACATGCTAAGTATGTAAGAAAAAGCTGAAGTTTAGTTGGAAAAATTATGACTTATTATGTTTGTAGTTCACTGATTGCTAATATTCAAACTAATTTCATTGTAAAACAGAAACCATATTAGAATTTAACGTTTTATATTGTTTTTCCATTTTGCTATTGTTGGCGCCGGTTTATATTTTTGTCTAGGATTTTGGTTAAAATTGGTTTAAAAGTGTAGGTTGTAATACTTCTTCTCTAGTCTATTCTAGTCTATTCTAGAAGTGCAGTTCTTGGAAATTTATATTACAGGCTTAACTGCATCGCTCTACATTAAAATAGTAAACAATATATTAAAAAATAATCTACTCATTGTTTTTGAAGAAGTAAAAATATTTATTGAAAATTTATTAAGCGTTTAGAATTATTATAATTATTATAAAGTTTTTTTTTGCTGCTGTTTCTTTGATATTTTTATTTTTACCCAAAAAATATCAGACATTCTGTTCATAATTTCTAATTTTCTGTTTTTAATTTCTACTTTGCTTATAATTTCTAACTTTTTGTTCATAATTTCTAACTTTCTGCTCATAATTTCTAACTTTTTCTTCTTAATTTCTAACATTTTCCATACTGTTTTCGGTTCTTAGAGATAACACAGAAAATTATCGTGTTTTTTCATATTCAACAGTTTTGTTGAACACTAAAACACCACTAGTTCTCATTAACTGGTTGTGTGAGAATATTGCAAAACTAATTCTGCGAAATTGCTTCAACGCATTGCAAAATTTCCAGTCATTTCGGCATGACAAATCTTTTCATTGAATTGAAATGGCCAGGGAAGGGAATGAAATATCTCGTAAATTTTTTGCTTCTTCAGCTAAACCTGGAATTTCTGTTGATTTTAAATGAAATGAAATTAAATGATAAAAAATTAGATACTAATCATTAATATACTCTAATGGAATATTTATTAGTAATCTGATTCGGTTTATCCAGCATTTCTTAGCATAAAATGGAATATTTTTAACCCCANGAATGATGATTGAGCATTTTTAAAAATTCTTTTTTTACTCCATTAGAATATGCAGGATTGCATAAGATGTACACAGCCGAATACTAAGAGTTCAGAAATACAAATGATATAATCTAATGTTTTTGATCTGGTTCTATCTATCTATCTATCTATCTATCTTTTTATCCATCTATATATTTAGCTATCTATTTATCCTTTTATCATCTATCTATCTATCTTTTTATCCGTCTATCTATCTATCTTTTTATCCGTCTATATATTTAGCTATCTATTTATCCTTTTATCCATCTATTCTATCTATCTATCTTTTAGTTGCTATGCTTCTGTTCTAACTAGTAGTTCCTGGAATACGGAAAGGCTTGTTTTCTTTTAGCCTTACACAATTAAAAAAAACGTGGCTTTTAAAAAAATGAACCGGAATCCTTATTTTTTTATTTTGCAAAGATAGATTACGTTACCCGCCTTATTTTTTGGCAAATTTTTGTATAACACTGTTTTTCAGAATAATTAGGGGAATTAAAAATTCAAACAATTTCCAGGAAGAGGGCGCTCCACCTCTCAACCTTTACCTCCCTCCCCCCTCCCCCCTTCTTAAATACTCAGAAACGAAAAGAAAAAAAGTGATATTTACTATTCAGTGAAATGCACGAGTTCTCCTTCTTCTCGGTAACAATTCCAATCTTTATATTTTTTATTTTTCAGATTCCTGGTAGAGAAGCTTGAGGAGCTGAGCAGCTGACGAGCCTGCCTGCCTGCCTGCCTGCCGACACAAAATCCACGAAATTTTCTCCCGGATCGGATTCTGCGAACCAACCGACAACGCGGGAGGAAATCGGGGAAATCGGATAGAAAGAAAACCCGCAATCAGTTTCCTAAGAAGGGAATTGTGGATTTCATATTCTAGTTAAACCTTGAATCAGAAAGTTTTAAACATTACAATCAATACTTTGTCCGCTCTAACATGAGATGTAGTTGTATAGAACATGTTTCCCTGCATACAATGCTCAAGTTTAGTTCTATGTAAAAAGTGTGAAATGAGCACAGCAACGATCAGGATGGTTAGAGATCAGTATTCAGGAGGAGTAGTATCCTACCCTTCAGCTACCCTTCTACCCTCATCATCTAGTCATCAACCTTTTACCTTTAATCATTCATCCTCCTTTCATCTCTCCTCCTCTCTCCTACCCTGCAACTCCAACCCTAAGAAGAAACCTAGTTCTCCTCTACATTACCAGAACGTTTCTCCGGTCGGAGATAGCCCTGAGCCAGTTCAAAATTCGAAATCCCTCAAAATGATCTCTGTCACTCCGATTCCGGATTCCGGAGCCGAAATGCGTCCGTCTCCGTTATCTCTTCTCCGACATCAAGAGTTGGAATCCCAGAAACGAGATCTCGATCATCAGCTTAAACTGATCAAGATGAAAATGCTTGAAAACCAGCTGGAACAAACAAAGCAAGAACTGAAAGAGCTGGAATATCAATCCCAGGTTAGTCCAAGGGTTGAGTCTTCAGCTCCGTCTCTTCCTCCTCGTTTGGGTCGACCTCTTACTACCTCAGCTCTTCTGATCACAACCTCGTGTGATCCGTTCGACAAACAACCGACCCTCGAGGTTTCCAGGTTGTTCCAATCCTCCTGCTCCTCCGATGCCTCCGACAGACTGGATCTAGAACGAACCCGACTGGAGTTATCCAACTGTAGTTGGTATCACGGTAACATAACCTGGCTTCAAGCTGACCAGCTTCTAGAGAATAGAAGCGAGGGAACCTTCTTACTCCGGGATAGTCAGTATCCGGGTTGTCTCTACTCTCTCTCTATACAGAGGGTTAAACTAGGACCAACCTCTATCCGTATTTACTTTTCACAAGGACGGTTTAGGTTGGATTCTGAGGGAGCCATTAGGAACATTATGCCGACATTTCCCAGTATTGTTGATCTAGTCGAGTACTACATGAGACGAGACAGGCTCTATTCTAACCCTGGAGATCATGAGCTAGATATCAAAACTAAAATAGAACTCCGAACCCCGTTATTCAAATCCCCTCCGTCTCTGGCCCATATGTGCCGGATAACTGTAAACTCTTGTATGAAAGGAGGAAAGAGCAGAAATATCAAAAAGCTAAACCTTCCGGTCAAACTAGAGCAGTACCTATCATCATACAATAACATTGTGTAAGCACAACAACAATAACATTGTGTAAACACAACAACAACAAAATTGTGTAAACACAACAACAACATTGTGTAAACACAACACCATTGTTTAAACACAAAAACAAAACTTTGTTAACACAGCTACAGCATTGTGTAAACACATCAACAACATTGTGTAAACACAACATTGTGTAAACACAACAGCATTTTGTAAGCACAACAGCATTGTGTAAACACAACAGCATTGCGTAAACACATCAACAACATTGTGTAAACACAACAGCATTGTGTAAGCACAACAGCATTGTGTAAGCACAACAGCAATGTGTAAACACAACAGCATTGGGTAAACACAATAACATTGGGGAAACACAACAGCATTGTGTGAACACTACAGCATTGTGTAAACACAACAGCATGACGTACTTGCTTGTGCACAATGACTATATATGTCCATTGCACACAGTACAAACAAAAACGCTGTTTTACATGAAGTATAATATGCTGAAGAAGAGACAGAATAAATAAGCATGACATCATGTCTCTAACAGTAATGTATTAACCATATTTTTCGACAATATTTAAATATTGTTATTTTATCAACATTCATTCTGAAGAAACCAGTGTAAAATTATAGAAGAAATTTATTTAGAATAAACTGTGTAAAAAACTGTACCTAATTTATTATTATAATAAACATCTGGTGAATATTCTGACTTTAACCTTTTTTATAAAGATTAGATCAGAGCTGAAAACTTTAGAATTGATTATCTCGAGTTTTTGTTAATTTTATTTTTTATCAACTATATAACTCGACTGATCGAGTGGGGTTTGGAGAAACCAGAATAGACAATCAAAGCAGCTGTTTGAAATTTTGCGCCATTACATGAGAGAACTCTTTCTTGTCGGAAACTGACAGGGAGTTGTAAATAAAGAAAAAGAGCAGATTAATAAAGAAATTAAAAGTGTCAACATCGGATATTTAGATGAAGCGATTGTGATTAGTGTATCCAAAAGTTTCCAACTTACAAGGGGGGGGGGGCGGGGGTACCTTCGCACCCCCCTGACAGATTCAAGATTTGAGGCAAAAAATGTTCCCAATTTATTAAAATAATGTTCTGAATTTGATTTATCGTATTTGGCCTTTTTTCAAGTTATATGAAGGAATTATTATATTAAATACAAAAACAAAGAACTTGGTATATCAAATCATAGATAAGAAGATACCGTACTTAAAATTAGGAACACAAGAAGTTAAGCAATCTAGGATTTTAGGAACAACGTTAACAAAAAAAGAACTAGGAACATTTTAGGTTTAAAAAAATTAAAAATACAATAACACAAAACTTGGTTGAGTTAGGAACAAAAAAGGAAAAACTACATTAGGAACATCAAATGAGGAACATTGACTATAATTGAGCCAGCTAGGAACAAGCTAAAAGACTAGGAGTTGTATATATTCACGAAGAAGGAACATGAGAACAAGAACAATATAAGTTCAGGGCGCGCAGTAGTTCAGAAATATTTAGGTTTCAAACTCCAAAAATTACAAATTTATTAATTAAAAGAAAAAGAAGAAAAATTCCACTGTATATATTAACAATGGTGTCAAGTAATTGAGATGAGCAGTTCAAATTCCACTGTATATATTAACAATGGTGTCAAGTAATTGAGATGAGCAGTTCAAATTCCACTGTATATATTAACAATGGTGTCAAGTAATTGAGATGAGCAGTTCAAATTCCACTGTATATATTAACAATGTTTTCAAGTAATTTAGATGAGCAGTTCAAAAGATTTAAGTTTTAAGAGACTGCTGATGCAATTTTAAGTTTTAAGAGACTGCAGATGCAATTTTAAGTTTTAAGAGAATGCAGATGCAATTTTAAGTTTTAAGAGACTGCAGATGCAATTTTAAGTTTTAAGAGAATGCAGATGCAATTTTAAGTTTTAAGAGAATGCAGATGCAATTTTAAGTTTTATGAGACTGCAGATGCAATTTTAAGTTTTAAGAGAATGCAGATGCAATTTAAGTTTTAAGAGACTGCTGATGCAATTTTAAGTGAGGATATATTTAAAGAGTTTTTGACAGATTTAAATAGGCACACTTTTAACATTTTTTCAGATATCATCGTTTTTTCTTTTTTAAAATTATTGTCTTTCTGCATAATTGAAATTCAAAAACCATTTTAGCACCCTTTCCAAGAAAAAAATCTCTTAAACGCTGAGTAACAAACCGTAAAATTTGAGTGTACTCTATCGCACTTACTTTTGTGAACTCAACATAGATGACATCATGACGTTACATATATTTCTAGAAAATCTAGAATATTATTGCGAAACAGGTTTTAAAAAATTCGAATGGGAATTTCATATTTTTCCACTTCTATAATGGAAATCGTTTAAGAGACTCTAAGTTTATTCTAGGTAATAAAAAGTCTTCATTGTTTCGTAGCTGATATTCACGATTTAATTGATTAATTGGAAACTCCTCTTCCAAGGACACTTGGGCATTATCATATACAATGGAACGCATACAATTTAAAATTTGTTGAGTGATAAGGTCAGGAAGTGGGAATAAAAAATTGGATTAGTGTGGGAATTATATTTAGATCCTTGGATTGTACAAACACATCGCTTTTGGAGTTGGAACAGATTGTTAATATTTCTAGAACTTGAAGAACAGTAAACTGGGAGACAATATAGGAAATGGGGATGTATGAGGGCGCTATAGACAGATTTTAGTGCATTTAAAGACAAAATGTGACGTACTTTTTAAGAGAGAAAAGGGCTTTAAAAATCTTTTTAGATGTAATAAATATACGGAAATCAAATGTGAAGTTTTCCTCTGGATAATGTGTCTTTTTTTCCTCTGGATTATGTGTCTTTTTTCCTCTGGATCATGTGTCTTTTTTCCTCTGGATCATGTGTCTGTTTTCCTCTGGATCACATGTCTTTTTTCCTCCGGATGACGTGTCTTTTTTCCTCTTGATCATGTGTCTTTTTTCCTCTTGATCATGTGTCTTTTTTCCTCTTGATCATGTGTCTTTTTTCCTCTGGTTCACTAGTCTTTTTTACTCTGGATGACGTGTAACACTCGAGGTTAAAGAAGAGATTGGTTCAATTTTCCTCGTAGGACGGATAAAGCCAAAGATAATAGATTAATGTAGATTAGAATTAACTCGATAAAAAGTGTAAAACCGCCATTTTGTTGGTCTGTTTCCGTACTGCATGTGTACTTTACACCTTTGTGCTATATAACCTTTTGGGGTCCTGGAGCATCTTTTTCATAGAAAAACGTTTACTTGAAAATTATTTCATTTTCTCTTAATCAATTCTATGACAACATTTCCTTTATTCCCGAGTTTTTACGTTTAATTTTCAATAAAATAATGTTTTTAATTCACCTATAGTTAATACACATGTTAAAGGTTAATTAACAAATTTATAAAACAATGAAATTGTAACGGATATGTCCAGGGATCATAAATTGTATTAGTGTGATGTACTGTCTATAATTATACATGAATTGTACACTTTAAACTCCTTTTCAGGCTCAAAGGGACAGAACAAATTCCTACGGAGAGATAGTCTTATTTCCCTTCTATTCTAATCTCTGTTCTATGATTAGAGGATAGAGCTGAGGAAATAATATTTACAATATTGATTTAGAAAAACTAATCTCAGCTCAAGGAAAGTCTCACAATTAAGTAATAATTCTTAATAGTTCCACTCTGCACTTATATATAAAGTTGTAATCTCTGTTTGTGTGTCTGTCTATTGTCCGATCATAACTCAGGAACCCCTAGGCTGATTGGCCTCAAATTTTGATTAAGGAACTCGGGAGACCCACGGAAATGTTCTTAGCTTAGTTTTGAGATTTTAGCATAAATTTAGTTTCCAGGTAAAATTCTTCTAGTGCGGGTAAACGGCGGGAGTAACTTTTAGTAACCTTGGCAGCGCTGGGTTCCCAAGCTAGTATATTAAAAAAGTTCTAATCTCTGTTTGTCTGGTGGTTTGTATGTCTGATTTCACTAAAAATTTGATTGAGGAACTCGAGAGAACCACCGGAATGTTCTTGGTAAGGTTTTGCAATTATAATTTGAGTAGGTATAGTAATTTACGACCAAGCGCGGGTAAACGGCGGGAATAACGCTAGGTTCTCCAACTAGTCCTTTCGTAAATCTGATCAGACTAGAAACATATAAAAAACAAAACAATAAAACAAACATTCCTCTAATACTGGGATTTTCAAAATGTGGTCTTCCTACAAAACGATTGGCAAACTAAAAATTTTGACCAGGTTTTATTTAATAAGATATAACCTAAAATATCTAAATTGTAAATAATTTCTACATTTTTTAAAGATACAAGATTTCAGTATAGAAAGGTTATACGTCCCACAATCTATAGTTTCATTCACATTTCTTCCTCATTTATATGTTTATTAGGACACCATGTAGACTAGGAATGTTTATTAGGACACCATGTAGACTAGGAATGTTTATTAGGACACCATGTAGGCTAGGAATGTTTATTAGGACACCATGTAGGCTAGGAATGTTTATTAGGACACCATGTAGGCTAGAAATATTTATTAGGACACCATGTAGGCTAGTAATGTTTATTCGGACACCATGTTGACTAGGAATGTTTATTAAAACACCATGTAGGCTAGGAATGTTTATTAGGACACCCTGTAGGCTAGGAATGTTTATTAGAACACAAAGTAGACTAGGAATGTTTATTAAAACACCATGTAGGCTAGGAATGTTTATTAGGACACCATGTAGGCTAGGAATGTTTATTCGGACACCATGTAGGCTAGGAATGTTTATTAAAACACCATGTAGGCTAGGAATGTTTATTCGGACACCATGTAGGCTAGAAATATTTATTAGGACACCCTGTAGGCTAGGAATGTTTATTAGGACACCATGTAGGCTAGGAATGTTTATTAGGACACCATGTAGGCTAGGAATGTTTATTAGGACACCATGTAGGCTAGGAATGTTCAGAGTAGAAGACTTGATGAAACCTTGGGACTTTCATATTTGTAAAGTTTCAGGTCGTCTTTACATTCTCATCCCTTTTGGATAGCAGAGTAGAGTAATAGATAGATAGACAGATAGAAAGTTAGAAAGATAGATAATTGGATAGATAGATAAATTATATGGATATAGTTCTGGAACAATCAAATTCTGAGAAGACCGGTTACACCTGTAGAAAACGCCTTTAATTAGGGTTTAAATATATAATAATATCAGACCTGGGTATTCTTTAAACATAAAACATAGGATACTTTAATTAGGGTTAAAGTATATATATTAATATCAAACCTTGGTATACTTTAAACATAAAACATAGGATATTTTATTTACAGTTGAAATATAGATGAATATCAGACCTTGGTATTCTTTAAACATAAAACATAGGATACTTTAATTAGGGTTAAAATATATATTAATGTCAGACCTTGGTATTTTTTAAACATAAAACATAGGATATTTTATTTACAGTTAAAATATAGATGAATATCAGACCTTGGTATTCTTTAAACATAAAAATAGTATACTTTAACTAGGGTTAAAATATATATTAATGTCAGACCTTGGTATTTCTAAAGCATAATGTAAAAAATGCCTTACTTCAATAGTTCTCTTAAGTCTATATTA